TATAGAAATATAGATAAGTTATAGTGCTTGGGAACGAGGTTATTCCGGGCGAAAGACCCTTGGAATTAAATTCGGAAAAATTAATTTCCGACCTCGCTGGGAATCGATTCCAAGGGTCTTTCGCCCGGAATAACCTCGTTCCCAAGCACTACAACTTATCTATATTTCTATATCTTCATGTATTTCATTAGTGCCATGCGGTCTACATATAAGGTCGTGATTTCTGTTGTGTTTTACTCATGAATTATTCATGAGTTTAATAAAATATCTTATTTATTCAAAACCATTTTAGTTTTAAAAAACTAAAAGTTGCGCTTATAAATAAATGAATGAATAAAGGCAGGCAGGCAGGCAGGCAGGCAGGCAGGCAGGAATGAATAAATAAATAAATATATCTATAATAACTAATTGACATATAATTCATACTACTTTATAACAATAATAAAGCAAATGCTGATATTAATAGACTTAATCCAGACAGAGATCTTGGAATTTAACTGTAACAAAGTTCTTAAAACGTTCAGTATAAACTRACGCCATGCGAAATGTCGCTTGACCGCAATGGCATCGTAGATGTAACTTGTACGGTTCTGTCGTGAAGCAGTGGGTTAATAGTGCGTCCATGSTTGATTGAAAATAGATCAAAAACGAGTGAGAGTGTTTTATCAGGGCATTCAAACACCGAGAAACAGATTAAAGCACGAGGCCAAAATTCCTTTTCAACTATTCGTTTATTTTTCAGTGTTTTGATGAGTGTCTTGATTCGTTTTTGATCAAGTATCAAGGTGCGTGCACGTGACTACAATRCAAAGTCGCCATTGGTCATTGACCTCATGAATATTAATGAGTTTGAGCAGCTGTTCTACGGTCCAACAAAATAGGAAGGCCTGATTTAACCAATGCTTCACGATAGGAAGAGAATCACGAATTAATACAAGTTAATAAATTATAATTAGTATTATTATGATTTTCCCCACGCCTGTACTTGCCTTAATCAGTTTATTTCTGCTGTCATTGGTTTTCATTTCGTAACGGGACAACAAACCACTCTAGAAGATTCTTTTTTATTGTTAGAGAGTTTTAGATTTACGTTCACGACAAACGTGAAACGTCAGTTGACCATTTAAAAATTATTCTAAATAGCTTAAAAAGAATCGCAAAAAAGTCCAAATAGTAGAAAAACAAAAGATTATTTGTCTTTGGTGAGAAGGTTTGTAAAAGGTAAAGTAAAGTACAGGAAAACGATGAAAACGTGGTCAGGTTTGCCGTTTGCGGGGAGAAAAAAAGTCAATCTAAAACTCTCTATTATTATTTCGTCGTCGTGCTTTGATCCTTGYCGGTTGGGGGAGGGGGGTGGGGTACTAGGACGATGTAGGTCTTGATAGGCGTGCCTGATGAAGCTCCAACTCCCCCTGCTCGATCATAGTACCATCCATGTACCACGCTCCMACAACCGGCACCAATCAATACCCTTTATCARTACTCTTCTTGAAGCAGTAGAATATTCATTGGAGTTATCGAAGGTTCGATGTTCTTCATTACGTCGTTGGGGAAATAACGATGGATTAATAGACCTCTTCGTCTYTGACGTAATGTTTTCCCATTTCAGACCACATGTCATTCCCTAGAGAATCATTTCTTTGTTTAAGGTTTGCGATCGGTTGCACATGAGAAGACACATGAATATGGATACAACTCAAACAAAGAATATTATTCTCAAGGGAATTGAATGACACGTGGTCTGAAATGTGAAAACACTACCCCAAGCCGAATAGGTCAATTGCAGGTTACTTCAGATATACTCTTGCATATCATTAAATCATCTAGTCCCGTGGGATTGATGGCCAGTTTGAATAGATTTCTCCTCACACATCCCCTTCACATGCGATGGATGAAGTACAGGCAGCCCAACCAGGATCACATTCGCTCGCGGGAATATCGACCTCCGCGTGATTTCGACCCTCAACTTTTTCACTTGCTTTGCTCGTGACTCTGTGAGTCTCGGAGAGGTCGAATTGGAGCAAGTACCAATGCAGGTGCGAACAAAACATGGTTTTTTAAGTCTTTTATTATCATCATTTTGTTGTCAAGAGTCTTCTTCTTGCGATTGTGTGGAATCAAATTTATTCTCTCTTCTTCCACGGGTCTTCTTTCATTTAAAGCTCGCGAGGTTGGCTAGAGTCTGGAACACTTAAATCCTTCGAAGCTTTTGCTTGAATTCCGGCTGTACTGGCTGATGAATCTTCTAATTCTTCTTCTTCTTCCTGATTATCGCGATAACGTGGAGTCAAATTTATTCTTTGTTCCGTTATGAGACTTATTCATTGGAAGTTTGAGGTTGAATTCCGACTGAAATGGCTGATGAATCGACATACCTTCGTGGGATTTTCGGACGTCGACACGTGCCCCCGAAAAACTCCCTTATCATTCTCCTCAGATCAGGCATACTGTAAAACATTACAGTCGGACTGACAGCGGAATTAGAGTAGGCAAGAAACCCGCAAAGGTGCCTGATAATGTAGTCCATAGTGTAGCTCAACTTGGGCTGAAAAATTCCTTTCAAACCAGCATTCAAAGCGCAGATCAAGTAAGGAAGGATGCAAGAAAAGATCAGCATTACGAAAGTGTTTGTTCCAGTGAAGGGTGTTTTGTTGGCTCGTTCCTTCGTTTGCTGAACTTGTCTTCGGCGTCTTCGTAGGAATTTAAGGATCTTTATGTTCGTGATAGTCAATATGATGCTTGGGATAACGTACTGAATGGAAGCATAACAGATAGCCATTACACGGATATGAGT